TACTGTATTACAGTTATTACAGTATTGCTATACTGTATTACAGTAATTACAGTATTGCTATACTGTATTACAGTAATTACAGTATAGCTATACTGTATTACAGTAATTACAGTATTGCTATACTGTATTACAGTAATTACAGTATTGCTATACTGTATTACAGTTATTACATTATTGCCATACTGTATTACAGTAATTACAGTATTGCCTTACTGTATTACAGTAATTACAGTATTGCTATACTGTATTACAGTAATTACAGTATTGCTATACTGTATTACAGTAATTACAGTATTGCTATACTGTATTACAGTTATTACAGTATTGCTATACTGTATTACAGTAATTACAGTATTGCTATACTGTATTACAGTTATTACAGTATTGCTTTACTGTATTACAGTTATTACAGTATTGCTATACTGTATTACAGTTATTACAGTATTGCTATACTGTATTACAGTTATAACAGTATTGCTTTACTGTATTACAGTTATTACAGTATTGCTATACTGTATTACAGTTAGTACAGTATTGCTATACTGTACTGTATTACAGTTATTACAGTATTGCTATACTGTATTACAGTTATTACAATATTGCTATACTGTATTTTTTACTAATGGTTTAGTCTATTAGTTTATTTATTTACTGTACCACTAGTTTTTGTAGTAAAACATTAGAAAATTAAAAAAAACTGAATTGTTTTGGTCTGTGTCATCTCATTAGATTCTTTAATTGATCAATTCAATACATTAATTTAATCTTTTAAAATTATTTCAGATGTTATCATAAGCAGTATATCCTATAATATATGCTTCATCTAGTGCTAGTTTGTATGGTAAATCAGTGTAGGATATTGCTTGATGTTATTGATAGAAGTGGGGGAATATTTTAATCATCAATCTGCTAGATGAGAGAGATTGATTATTACCCTGGATCCATTCTAATAATGAACGAACATTAGCGAGAGATTGAGAGTAACGATAATGCTAATATTAATATTTATTATACAGTAATATTAATGGTACCTTGATTAATGCTCTGCAAGGAGGAAGGCTAGTAGCCTGGGTACCATATATGTCTACATATTTAAAGAATCTCTACATTTTTTTGGTGTTTGGTTGATGATTTAAAATTATCATCATCATTATTGGCTGGATTTTTTCTCTCTATATGATGATAATGATGAAGAGAATGATAATAAAAGTGATGGTGAAGAAGATGGATGATGATACTGATGTTCAAATGAATAACTAGATCAATGCTTGGTATATTTTGTGATCAAAAAATAGTGTGATACATGACATCTACAATTATTAATATTTTCTGGTACTTAAACTCTTCAATTGGCTGCTGCAAAACACTCACAAGATTTAAATTCTCTATGATTTCTCTTTCAGTTTTCATGTACAACAGAACCCTTTATTAGACTGGCTTCCAATTGATGTTAGCTTGCCTTGGTACCAGCTGAAGAGGGCACTGCGATTAACAGTGACTGTAGTAATGATGTTCTTTGCACTATTGACTCTGATTATGACGGTCATGCCCATTGAATCTTGTGAGGGCAGTCTGGTCGCCATCCAACGCCCTGGTCGGACTATTGGCGAGCTCTTGCACCAGTTTGTCGAACTTAAACACGAAGGGAAGCCACCACAATGAAATGGTTTAAAAAAAAAAAAAAAAAACATCCACCGATATCTGAAGCAGATATATAATATGTGTTGTTTTGAGTATTGTAATGACTCAAGAAAAATTCATTTTAGATACTTTCCTCTTCAACCAAAAATGGACACAAAAACGTTAAATGTCATAAACATAGCAATATATTCATAGACGAATAATATATAAACAATGATATATTTTCTTATTAATAGCAAGATTTGTTTAGTTATTGCATATTCTAATGTATACACAACTATATTGAGATGATTTCTACTTGTTGTAATGGATTGAATTTAAGCAGAAGAAAGTTATATAAAATTGTTGATTGTGGAGTCAAATAGGCTTCTTTGTTTTTTTTTTCTCAACAAATATATAAATCTTTTAGATGCTTAACAAGAATATTGCTCAAATGTTATACTAATACTTTTAAAGCCTTGTTTCATTTCATATGTACTCATTAGTAGCAGTGCACTATGACACAGGTGTGTAATTGCCTGAGCTACTTTATGTGGGTGGGGGCCAGCAGCCTTCCCAGTGGCTTCGTTCTGCCCTATTGCCACCTCTGATGTCTCTCTTGAATTATCTGATAGATAATTAAAGTTATAGCCATTATTGTCATAAATGATTAGTTTATCTGTATGAAAAGGTGCTATTTATTATTGTTATCATCCTTATAATTATTACATCATATGATATTTTTGTACAGAACATTTTTGAGAGTAGAGAATAAAAATTTTGTTTATAATATTTATTTGGCAAAAAGCATATAGGAGAAAAACGTCATGCATTGCCCGCATAGGGAATGGGCGAAAGCCTGAACAATATTTGCTCCCTATCCTTCATATAAAATGAAATACACAAAAACAATCAGAACTAATCAGAAACATAAAATGAAATAAAATGCTTAATTAAATTATTCTTAAAACAGGAAACATTAACAGAGTTTTGAAGTAGAGCAGGTAGTTCTTCCCAGAGCCTGGGAAAGGACACGAAAGCAGAATTAAGAAAAATATTGCTTTTGGCTTTCCAGTTAATAAGCCTACACTCACAACGCTCACTCTTATGAACAAACTCTGTTAATGTTGGGGGACACACATTATGTTCATTTAAATTTTACATTGAAATTCCCAATGTAAAGTGCTGAATATTAATGCTATGCCTAAAGCTAGACTTGGCTGTATATTTTGACATGCCTTAGGTCTTCATTGCATTTTATCTGACACCAATGAAGCATGTTATTTTAGAAATATATATATGTTAAGACAATGTCTTTCAGGTTGTTTTTGGTGATTACCACCTAAACTGTTTTGCTTAACTCCGATTATTATTACTGACACTGAAGAGAAAAACATACTAGGGTGAAGAGTGTAGAAGAGGCCGTAATAGAACGTGCCATATAAATATTAAAAAGGTTTTTCAACCGTAGAAACCTCTCCATACTAAATAGCTATTTAACCTTAATAGAACTGGCTATTTTACCCCAAAATATAACAAGCCATTCACCTATAATAAAACTAGCTATTTTGCCGGGAAAATATAGTAGGGCGCTGATCGATAATGCCATAGAGAAAGAAAATAATACAGTAACTATTTTAACCATAGTACTGTAGAACAGGTCATTTACCTATAATGAAACTATTTTGATCATTAAATAGTAATATAAGCTATTTTAACCATGTTATGTCATTCACCGTATAAAGCCTCCTATTTGTCCTGAACAGGCTGTTATATAGAATAAGCCTGGCTACTTTACCATACTGTAGTAGGTTGTTATATGAACATGTATCCATAATATATTTCCTCCATGGTTATGTACCTAGAAAGAAGCACTGCAATTATTCTAGTAGATACATCAACTAGAAGAATTATTGCATTGATTCTTTTACAATAATCATCTTTATGGAATTCGTTGGCTACCTCAAAGCTGCAAGAACCTAATAAGAATTTGTTGAAGATTCTTTAGTAAACGGCCACACATTGTCCACATTTTCAAACATGCGTAATTTTGTGATGAATCAAGTGGGACCTACTATGAAATATTTGCAACTGCTATCAATATCAGTCAGTATTCAGTAGCTTCATCAATTGGTGAAATATCACTGTCTGATTTTTATATTTACCTCTAAATTATTAAAAAATAGCAATCTGACAAAATTTACATACACTGATGGCATGACTAGTTACAGTATGTCTTAATTTATTGTTTATTACTTTAAAAACAAAAATGACAGCAGAGTGATTCCTATTTGTTTGTAATATACTGCCATGTTTTTCAGCTATTCTATTACTGCAAAATATATAAACAAGAAGAAATAATTATAATATATTGCTACTTACTACATCAAATTTTGACTTCCAGGAAAATAATGCTACATCTTTCTTAGAAAACATTTATACAAGAGAAAATAGTATGTGGCATTTTGATCTGTTGTAAAATATGGGAGCTTTGAGTGACCTTTCACTTACCAATGATAATGACCTTGGTAACATCATAGAAAAATTTCTATGGTAACATGAAACTTTGGAAGACACTAAAGGCTTTGGTAGTTAAAGGTAGCATATTCTAGGGAATAAGTGCAAATATATATAGATGACCATCAGACCTGGTCTTGGTTGAATGATTTCCGACTTGTTAATAGGTATTGAAATTATTTTTATAATTTTGTTATGCACATGAGATTTTTTAATTGATTTATTTTTTAATTAAAGAAAATGTAAAGCATTTATAATGAAATCTGATGATATAATAGTATGCTCAACTCATTCCAGAGGTATTTTATTTCATACTTACGGACAAAAGTATGTACTTACGTTATTAATTTGTTATTCATTGAAAATGTCTATTAAGTCACTGAATATGTTTATAAATATTATGTGTTTAGGTGTTATTTACAACAAGTAACTGTATGGACTTAGATCCATGGTGCTTGTACATGATATATTGTCCATGTGTGGTATCTACACACTCACTGTTAAATTGTTTTCCCTTCACTGTCTAAAAAGTCGCTGATTGTACAGTATGTGCTGTAATGACAGAATGAAATTTAGTTACTGTCTTATTTCAGACATTACAGTAACCAGAATTTTTAAGTACCTTGGAAATTTAATGTTTTTAAACATGATCGTTTTTTACACAATGTTGACATAATGCCTATATCACAGTATTTAAATGTATTTTTGCTTATTTTACTAAAATATTTAGGGTATTTGCATACTTACTAATAATAAAGCAAAAAGAACGTTTATTCTGCTTGTCTTCTGCGTAATATAATTGTTGATATTTATCTATATTCCGTATGTGTGAGTCGAGATGTATTTACTGTAGAATAATTTTTGTATATTGAATGAAATTAAATTTATGAAATAGAATAAATTGTTTACAAAATAGCTATTGGTTATGTGTTTTTTTAGACTTCATGAGACTTAGAATTGTCATAACAATATTTGAATATGAATGTGTGATCAACAGTTGAGGTATCCATTGTGCCACTAAAAACCATGCGCCCACAATTTGTGTACACCATAGCATCGAATCCATTCATAGTTTTTGCCATCGTTTTCCCATGTACTCTGACAACTGACCCCAGCCTCGACCGGGTTGGTTTGCTTTCTTTAACCCATCCTTCAAACTGTCATCAAGAATCATCATCATCGTCATCATTGTCACCATTATCATCGTCATTGTCATTAATCATCGTCATCATCGTCAGACCTCTCATGCAGGAGGTGCATTTCCGAGCCTATTCGTGAGGCGCTATTACATCTCGAATTTAAACTTTCTGTGGAGGTCCACATACCCCCCCCCCCCGTCCAGCTCGTTTAACATATGGTTTTGTTGAGATTTAATTAATTCAAGTTATGAAATACTGTTGAGACAGAGAAGATTCAATATATGCATCTGGTCGCAAATCATTAAAAACTTGTTCAAAAACAGAAGCAACTCAGAAAATTTCCAGAAAACAAAGAGAGATGACCACTCGTACCGTATGTAATCTTTTAAAGTAAACTTGCCGAATATGTCTGCTTCGGCCCAACCTACTTGAATAAGTCCATTCATATAACGTCGGACAATCATTCGATATCAAAAAGGCCTATATAACTTCGTTTTTGTGTTTAACTTTACTTCGCTGCATAAGTGAATATAATTTCCATCTAAAATTGATTCGGCTGCCATTTCATTTTGATGGCACCCGCTAGCAATATTAGGAATGACACTGCCCCTGATGAGTCCAGTTATCAACTCCCAATCTATCTGTTCACTAGATGGGAGTACCGTACGTTTTCAAGTAAATTGCACCAGTTACACTGAACTATAAGCAAGAGGGGTTAATTCCCCGTGGACATAAAAAAAAAATGGGTCTTTGTGCTTCCCCCTCATCGATATAAAATCAAAAGCAGTAATGCCTGACCTGCAGGCAAATGCAATATTGACTTCGTATTTAATACGACAGAGTTGAAATCTTAATGCGATTTAAAGCACTAGGGAAATACATATCGTAATTAGCGCATTTCCTAACATTCTCAGTAGGCCTATAGTCCTATCTCGTTTGCAACGAATTAAAGAAATGTTGATGGTCTTGTGTAGCCTTGCAGTATCCGATATTTTTTAATATTTATGAGGAATATTGGGTAAACGATCTTTTGCGCGCGGCCGTCCGACTCAGCGACTTCGGTGATGTATAGTAGTGTTTTAAAAATTGATTACAGTTCCATTTTAGCGCGACCATCAACGATCTTGTCTTACTATCGCGATCATCCTTGCCTACTTAACACACAGTTAAAACAGAAATCGATGCCAAAAACTAGACAAAACTGCAGTTTAGGAGCGCTTTACATCAAAGCAGATCAAACAATTAACAAATACAATCGCTGAATGGTTAAATATACATGTTCTTTGCCGCTGCCTGCTTTTATGATGGCGACGTACCGACTTGTACGTGTGATGCATGATAGATTCCAAAAAATATTGTGAATGATAAATATCTGCTAATTAAAACGACTGTTAAAGTGGCAGTTTCGTGTGAACACGTAATGCGCTCGATTTATTTCAAGCGGGCGGCGCGAAGTGCACAATGCAAACAGTCGATAATTGGTGAAAGCCTAATGTTACGTAGGCCTACATGGTGTATAAACTGACGTTCTTTATGATAAATGAATGAATGCAATATAGACTTATTATAGTAATGATCACGTTTTGGGCCACTTTAAAATCTTTTGAAATTCATATTTTAACGAATAATAATCAATCAGCATGCTGTATTTGCTGTGACGCAATAAATAACCCTTGAGGGTAGTTTTGTGGTATACTTAAAATTGTTCGTTCCAGTTTTTCAACATCAATGCTGTCGACCCATATGAAACAACAGCAGCTGAAGACATACGTCACCTTAAATATGCACCTAGTGATGTGTAATAAATTTATTATCGCACTTGCACGAACGAACCCGTGTGAAAATCAATCATCAAGGCACTACCGAATGAGTTGGTACACCTTTAAAGAAAATCTAAACACCTGTCTCTTATACACATCTAGATGTGTATAAGAGACAATGATTATACTATGCCTATATTATTATTATTATAAATTATAATTTATTAATAATATTTAATCAATGCATATACGTATATTCACGTTCTGCATTTAATTGTTATCGTTTTACCAGGGAGTAGTTTTTTTTTTTTTTAGTACTCGTGTTTTTTTTATTGTCATATTTATTGCATTGAATATAACTTTCTAAAACTGAGAGTCGAGTAACCATTGGTGGCGCACAACCTGTCAATAAAGAAAAATTATTGTAAACAAACCCACGCTCAGTTTCAAACTACTCACAGCGAGCGGCAGAGCGAACAGTTGCTGTTGTGATACAGCTGGTGCGAGAAGAGAAAGTCGGTGGCCGAAAACGCCAGTAAAATAGGATAAGAAGTTGCATCAAAGTGAGGTCTTTGATGTAGAACAATTAATATACCCTGTGCTTAGCACAGACGACTTCGTGTGGATATTCCTTTCCAGATTTTCAAAGGTAAACTTTATTTGGTCGTGAAACGGCTAGGCCTTACGCTGGAGCCTCAAGCAAGGCCTTTCCTAAATTGTGTTTATCGAGAAAATTCAATTGTTTGTGCTGACCTGCTCCGTTATTTTGGCCGCGGGCGGCCTGGAGCACAAATGAACTTCAGATGGGATAGGCCTACCTATATCTCTGTTGTTGATAATGACTTGTTATGTTTATATGGTGATTTTCTGAAATTCATCAAGAAGTAGGAAGGCAATCAAATTATTTTATTTCAGACAATGTTTTAAGAAAGAGGGTTATGTTTAAGTAGCCTAGACCACTTTTCTTGTTAGCAAACTGACTGAAAATAGAAAATATAGCTAATAAATATAGTACTGTATGTATACCCTATAAAAGAACTATAAAGCATTAAAATATTATTATGCATTTAACCATTCAAAGATAATTTAATTCACAGATCTCTACAAATTCTCCTGCTGGTACCGATGCAATGTGTTATCATGGTCCATCAACAATACAAAGTGCTGAATTATTCCTGTCCAATTGAATAATTTCATTCAAGTTTCCTATTCACATTTGATGGCTTTTTCTTTGGAGCCTTCATATATCATTTTGAAACCAACATTGTCTGTGAAATCTGAGAATTATGGCAGTTCATAAAAGATCAAACATCGTTCAAAATAATAACAACAATAACAACAACAACAACCGGGTTCATCGCCGAGGTCCCAAGATGAAGCAGCAAACAACCTGCTGCGGTTCGACCACCACGATACAGTCCAGTTTCTGCTTGCCTGATTGTCCAATCACTGTCTATCAGTTCTTTGTGTTGCTAGCAGCGTTAGTTTGCTATATGAACAGTTTTAATGGTGGACTAGTCCATGATGATGTCTTCGCAATTAAGAATAATGATGATGTTCGTCCTTCGACACCTTTAAGTAACGTTTTTCACAACGATTTTTGGGGTAAATCGATGCAAGACAACAGGAGCCATAAATCTTACAGACCACTTTGTATTCTCACTTTCAGGTATTGTAATTTATTGTATATTTTTTTTATTAACATTGTGTAATAAATAATAATAAAAGATAACATATTAAAATGGGATTTTTTTTTTATTATAGAAATTCATAGTTTAATCAAAAATTAAATACATAACAATTGATATTATGTGTCAATTATAATATAATTGTTATAAATTGCAAATGTTTTTAATGATTAATATAAAATTGCAATACCATTATTAATATGATGATTATCACAGTTAATAATAATTAACTTTATATAAAGTGATGCTTTTAACAAATCTCGCAACCTTAAAATTTATGGGGTTTTTTTTATTAATGGATTTATTCCGTGCACGATACAGATTTATTCAGCCTCTTGACACCTCTCAGACCACAGACATTATTTGCACTGGCTGTGTTTGTATAATGCTGGGCACGACCATGCTGTTGAACTTATTGATAACCTCTGTAAATACCAATACATTTAAATTCTAAATCTGCTTGATTAGTTATTCAAGTCAGGTAAATACTGCTCTGCTCGTGTTTGTTTGGACACGTGGTACGTGTATTAACGCTGGGCACAGTAAATATCGACGCTTGGTTCTGTACAGAACATAGTTTAGTTTACAAGTCTACCATAGTTTATGACACATAGTATTGTATATACTGTATACTATAAATGTTCCTTATCAACAAATGCCTGATAGATGCAGTCATCTGCGCTGATAGCGATACTATGTCGAAATTGTGGTTGACATTAATGTGGTTGTAATAAAATGTTGTTAATTGAGCCTATTTCGTGGAAATATTTAAAATTCACAGGAATGTGATGATATTTAAAAGTTCAATTATTCATTCAAAATGCTTGATAAAAATTGTTAAATGTGCTTACAGTACTGTAATCATTTTGGTGTTAACTTCAATGAAACCTATTGGTAATGTAGTGTACATTTTTTAATACTTTCAACTCTGTACATACAAACATTTTAATTTACAAAATATAGCTGCATTGGTAAGCATTAAATAGGTTTCTAGAACTAGCAGTAATTTTTCAATTATAAAAAAAAGAAATACATATTCAAAATGACTACAAATAGAAAATGATGAGGGAGGGACTTGTACTAATAGCAGTGCCTGCCTGCAGTATGAAATGTTTTACCTTCCCTTTTTAAAATTTTAATATTACTGCTACCACCAGCTATTACTACCACCACCATTATTGCCACTACTACTGTGGTTGCTGCTAATACTATAGTAATTTCATTGTTGTTTTGTTGTTTCTTGTCTGTTTCACTGATGATAGGACATTTTCTGCTTTCTTTCAGGTTGTTGCTACTACTTTACTAGTAATATTTTTGTATTGTTCTTATTGCTTTTTCTGGTCTCTGTTTCATACTATTTCATTGGACAGTATTGAGGCTGTTTCATTTGAACAACTTTTAATTACTGTAATCATACCATCTGCCTTTCTTCATTGCTAAGTGAAATGTTTCCATTAGATTGCAGTGGACAGTTTCTTTACACTCATCTAGTACAGTAGTCATTATTTTGATATACTACTCCTTTTTGTCAACTTTGATTTTTCAATGTTATTCATTACTTTTCTACTTAAGTGGCATTTTCAGACATGAGCCTGCGATACCTTACAGTGCGTTGATTATTTTTAATATCCTATGTCTGCGATCTGTAATTGGCTGTGAATAAATATACAGTATAAATAATATATTTTATATTTTATTTTTATTTTACTTTAAATACGATTTACAGCATTAAATCCGAATATTATTATATTAATAACCGATGCTTACCGTATCTCTTTACAATTAATTATGGATCAAATAGTCGGGGGTAATTAACTAGTATGGGAATTGTAGCAATATATTCTAGATTACTATTATAATACAAATTAGATCTCAGATTACTTATTCTATATTGCTTATGAATAATAAAATTACATTCACATTATTATTACAAAAGGGCCTAAAGTTTAGAAGTCCGAACTGTCAGCAAACAGAGTAACTTATGAGGATGTCATATGTTTGTTTTAAACTTTACTCAAATTATATAACTGCAAATACCATAAAACCTTGAATTGAAGCCCAGTGGGTTTAATCTCGAGATGAAGCCCATCTCAAATTGAAGCCCCCTCTTTATTTTGCCAAATTAACCTTGAAAAGATAGCACAGGCTTCTTTTCAAGATAGTACAGTATTATACAGTACACTGAACATGAATTTCAAAAAACAAAATAAATTAAAAACAAGCTTGGTTTATACAGTAGTTTAGATGATTAATGTCAGTTCCCACCATGTGGGCCGTATTTATTGTTTTATAGTACAAATTCACAAAATTTACAGCACTCATTTTGCAAAAAAGCCCGCTCTTTACGTCGCAAAATTAGCCTCGAAAAGAAGCCTATCTAAAGTTCGCAAAAAAAAGAAGGCCAGGGTTTCAATTAAAGGTTTTACGGTATGCTCACTAAATGTGTTGCTACTGTAGTTAAATCACATGTGTGACTGTCCCTTTAAAGTAGCATACTTTACCTCCTCTTATCTGCCTTATATCAACCAACTTAACTTTCTCATCCATAAAAGCATTGATCCTTCATAAGGATTTAAATTCTTTTTCTTGTACTTAATTCTATTGTAAACAAAGCAAATCACTATTTAAATAAATCTAGAACTTAGTTTAAACATTCCACAGGATTTAGTGAAAGCTATAAAAACATCACCAAATTAAATACACAAGTAGGCTACTGTATATTGCTGAATAATAAATATTTGAATTTAGTTTCCAAGAATGAATTACTTAATTCCATATTATAATAAATATTTTTAGTTCTAGTAGATTATAAATTTATATTGATGATATTTCTCTCTCAAGTAATGTATCTTAAAAGTAGTTAAACATTCTCTATAATGTCATATTGTAGGAAAAAGAGAATTATAAATATTTATTTAAGGATTTCAGCATGCCTTTTTTATTGTACCTTCCACAATTTAAAAAAAAAAAGAAACGTCTTTAATAAGTTTTTTTTTCTGTTAGTCGGTTCCATAACTCCCTTATCCAGGCATTTGAAAAATTTCCAATGATTTTTAGTTGTAACACCATAATGCCTTTCATCTTGACTTCTGATCGATAACATCATTAAGTGTGGATGCTGAACTGCTTTTACTACAGTATTTGGTTTATTTTATATTTGTCAAAGTCAGTTGACATCTTCATTTCAATATTTAGAATGAAACTGAGGTTGAATTTAGTTAAAAATGTAGTGTGAGTAAAAAATGTAGTATTTGATTTGATTACTAATAAGAATTTTAGGTTTTGGAAGCATTAGTATGATTAAAAATTAAAGGTAAAAGAAAGAAGTATAATGTTGAAATAGGACATACTGTATAATTTACACAAATCAGTGGTGATGTTGGTAGTCTATGAGTGGATAGTTACCGGGATAAACCAAGTACCGGTATAGTAATTGGGGTGTTCTCTTTTGGGGGAGAACAATTAGTCAGTTCATCCGGGTACAGTCAGTATTCACGCCGTAGACTGGTAGTAATGCCATTTCGTTTTGCTCTAGGTTCAATATTAGGATATTTTCATAATAAAGAAGAATAAAAAATTATCAGTCCATCTGCTATGTAATACTGTATCCACTAATGTCATTAAATTAATTATTTCAGCAAACAGAATGTAATAAACAGAGGTAATAATTATTAGACATTAAAAATATCTACATTTTCTAAAAGGAAAATCCAAATGAGATGATAAATACAATGAAAACCAGAGTTGTATGTCTAACATATTATTTCTTTTACAGACACATTTCATTATTATTACAAGCATTCATTAAAAAAAATTAATATTTGTTAAAAGGATGTGTGTGGTTAACATTCATTTATTCATTAAATTTGTGATTGTTTGCAAAGCAAGATTGTTTGCAATTCATTGCCTATTAAGGTTTTATTAGTTAGTACTGTAATCTTCATCTTGTCCTTTTCCAATTCTTTATTATATTGTGCATCAATATTGGCAATCAAATCAGTTTTGCCCATCTCTCTATTTTTTCCAATTGACTACCAATAAGCAATTCTGCGATCCTTACTATCCAGTACACTTCTTGTCATTCCTCTATTAATTTCCCATTATTTTTATTCTATAAATCTTCATTCCATTTTCCCCATTATGACCATTCCCATTCCAATATTTCTATCTTGTTCTCATCCCACTATTTCCATTCCACTGATTATATTACCATTCCACTAATTGCATTTTTTCCCATTCCACTATATTCCCGCTCCACTATATTCCCATTACACTATATTTCATTATACCCCATTGCAGTGGCGGAATCAATGGAGGGGGGGGGGCAGCCGTTCCCCCTTAATTTTTTTTTTTGAGAAAAAAACAATTACATTCAAATTTTAAGTCTGAGAGTGCCATTATCGGCCATCTAGAGGTAACGTCATTGTAAATATTTCTTACCCCAGTCTCAACCATGGTGGGGCTGAGGTGGTATAGACCCTCTATCTGTCAAAGTTCCTCCCTGGGCCCCCTCTATTTCAAATTCCTGGATATGCCACTGCATTGCATTATTCCCATCTCCCATTTCACACCCCATCCATCCCACTATTCCCAATCTGCTTCTCTATGCTCAAATGGTTTTTACTAAGAATGATTCATTAATAATAATTGCTTAATTGTGTGGTTTATTTGAATGAAGTCTGGTGCATGCAGAGATCCTTAATTAACAGAAATCACAACCATGGGAAAATACCTTCTTTTCAAAGCAATAGATTCTCATACACATTCTCTTTCTATTGAGTAATGACTTTGCCCTACTTTAGCTGAGTGATATATTTTTACTGCATTTAACGTTTTTTATTGTCATTTTTTAAATTAAAAGAAAAATTACTATTTTTGGATTTGCTTTCTCTATCCCTTTTGAATATTTCTGTAGATAATTTTGGTTAGAATTTAATAATATGCTTGTGAATGTTCTCATTCATCTAGATAGGTTGGTTATTGTATATTATTTTAGACAAATAAATTGTAGAAACGATTTATATGTCTAATTACAATATCAGGCTTTAATGATATTTAAGGTGGTTTTTTTCGTAACCAATATGAATGTTGTCATTCATCCTTATCAGTGCCAACGTGAAGAATGTAAAACATTCTTGACCTTCCAATTCTAGGCTAATGAGAGGTGAAATACCAGGATTTTTTTTTTCTCATATCTGAAAATAAGTCCATTCTTTATAGGGCATGAAAGAGTTTGATCCTAAAATTGGCAAGTGTGTTTGCTGTTTAATGTGAATTTTATTTTAGCAATAAAGTTTGTCAAAACAAAACTTCTTGGAAATTATCTTGAAATACAATACAATAAACTATTAAGATGATTACTATCTCTCATTTTGTTTGTAAATTCTGTGCTTTTGAGCAATATTTTATGTCACGAAAACAGTGGAATTTCAAATTATATTATTTTACATCATTATATTTACCATTATTATTAATTTTTGATCCTGATATACTATACCTTTCCATAATAGATCCATCAGAAATTATAGTTCATTCCCTACTAATGCCTCAGCTCCTTTACAGTAAGACACACCCATTCAATGTAGTTATTTGGCCTGAAAACTAGATGATAATGATTTTTACCCTCTAGTGTTCCATAACTCATCTAATCGCTCTAATAACATGGAGTCAAAATGCCATTATGTATAATATATTCAGTCTATCCTTATAAAAACCTAAATTAAGTAAAGTTAAAGAGGCACAGATAGGAAAAATTGATTTTCGGGAACTTTTACTACAGATATCCTAACATCAATTACCAGTCAATTTTACAACACACCTGATGAAACCAACATTCAGTAGACTGTTGTATTAAATAATTGAAGTTAAGTTATAAAGTGCTTCCAGTGTTTTTATTTTAACAGTTAATTTTAGGGTCATGCAAAGATTTACATTATTATTATTTATGCATCTGCAAGGAATGTATATTCTCAATCTATTTTTAAATAAAAAATCTAATCTTTCTGTACTGTAAGCTATTCAAATATTGAATTTTATTTTTTATGTGTTTTCAGTGCATCACATTTTATCAGTCTTACATCTGTACTTAAGACAGACCCATAGATTTACGCCCCTATTTCTTGGATAAAAGAAAGGTTACCATGCCAAGTACTTGGCCTAAAAACAAGGTGATTCATTGTTTTCTATAACTCGTCTTATCGTTCTAATAACATTGCGAGTGCAAATTGCCATTATATTCAACGTATTCTCTAAATGTGGTGCTGACATTTTCTTACTACTAAAAAGCTCAAATTACAAACCTAATTATTAAAGTTTTAATATTTTATGAGTTTTCAGCAAATTATTCATTGAATTGACTGTCTCGTTTGACAATACATGATAATTAATTTGGATCATGTAATATTATTCTATAAAATATGAACATCCTGTGCTCTCGTCCTCTATCTGTGATAATCTTGCCATACAGTGGAGGTGTACAGTAGATTGGTTGTCTGCGTTTCCAAGTTCATTGGTTCGAATCCTTTGAGATACCTAACAAGTTAAAAGCCTTTATAACAAGACATAATTTATAAAGAAAAATTTACTAGTTAATTTCAATTAATTTTAAATGATACTGTAAGCTAGGTCATATATGAGGATAGGGTTTGGAATTGTAATTTTAGTTGTGAGGAAATAAAAGGCTACTGTAGTGTAGGTCGAACTCAAGAACCCTGGGAGGAAGTGAAAGTTTACTTGTTTCCGGGGGAACACTGAAATTTTTCCAATTCCAGAATACTGTAGCTGTGATAGTTTTTACCACCAATCTGTATCACACTACAGTACATCGATTGAAAAAATTCATTTAACCATTATTTATTATGCCCATGAATAAACAATAAGTTGCCTCCTGGGTATTGTTAGCATACAATTACATTAACACATTTTTTAAATCAATTTGTGTATTAAATCTTTCGTACAAAGTTCGGCTTTCATGAATAATGCCCCACTTGTACAGTATGCTGGTGTCTGTAAATTCCTATTTGAAATTTAATGTTCTACGCTTTCACTGCAAATTAGTTATAACACCTCTCAAGTTAAATTCTTCAAAGCACAAACATGTCTCGAATATGTAATTATTTTCGTAGTAAAAACTCAAAATTAATGTACTGTAATATTTATTTACAATATATAACTCCAGAAAATTAAATTGGATGAAATTTGTGATATGAGAAGAATAATATTAGGGTTGTGAGTCATAAAACAATGGAATTGATGAACCTGACTTGCAGTGGAATTTCTTTTTCCCATGTGACCTATGAGTAAGCTTTAATACAATATGTTGTGGGGTTTTTTGTTTTAGAGAAAAAAGAAAGCTACCTAACCATATAAGTATTTCCCTGTTTGGAAGTTTCTGCAGATAATTATTCTCCAGAAGACGATTGAAACAACTCATAAAAACTTTGAAACATTCTCAACCAACAACAGTTCTTTTCAGAACTATCTACAGTACATTGTGTACCGCAAGCATTAATACATTCAACTTGAGAACTTTAAAAAAATCTAGCATTGTGTTTATATGGATGCATGACCTTGCTCTTCCCCTCCCCCCCATGTTGCAATGTCGTAGGTGTCGCTGCTTCACAAGTTTGCCCTTAATAGCCTGCTAATCAGCAGTAGGCCTATAGCATATCTCGTATTTCTTGTATCCTGTCAGAAGTAGCAGATATCTCACACTTCATACCTTGTCTTGAAATATCATGTGTCAAAACATATATCATGCACAACAAGAAACACCTGGTCTTATATCTGCTGTGTTTATTTGTTACATTGTAGGTTAACATAAAATATAAATTTTAAACGCCTTACAAATGATGCAATATAATATTTAAGATATTTAAAACAATTTCTTCTAGAATTTTCTGTAAATTACAGTGAATGTATATTTTGTGTCTAGAGAATGAATATGAGATGAGAAAGGTGACGATTATAATAATTGACATACAGAAAGATTCCTGATTAAATAGACATATTACACTGCTGAGGTCTTTAAAGATATGCTGTGGAATATTAGACTAGAAGACGCCAAGAACATGTTGAAAATCGTGTGAAGAAAGTAAGCAGCATTCATTGACGAAGCCATTCTAAAATTCCTTAATCAGCAGTGATGACACACTGATACGATATTCTGAAAGCAGTTTTATTTTGGAATCTGCCAACAATTATGAGAAACCTAATATCTTAGAAACTTAAGACACTTATTGTCTTACTTGTATTCCCCAATGAAGATCATAACACTTGAACCCAACACAATTATGAAGAACTCCAATTGAATTTGCATTAATGAAATAAGGATGATGTATTTTTTCAATCTTTGTCGTGTGAGTAGGCAAAAGCTTCTAGATTGATTTACCGAGCAGTTTGGATTTGTTCGATGTCTTGATTGAGAATGTGCTTCATTTGATTTTATTCGGTATCATAAAATATATACAGCACATATAAAATACATAAAATGGATAAAAAGTTCATAATAAAGAATCCTGAAAATTCAGCAAGAAAAAACAAAGGAAAACTATGCCCGGAACGCCCATAAAGTCCTAGGACTTATTTCCAATGGGGTCCGATAAGTCTTAGGACTTTATGGGTGTTCCGGGCATCGTTATAGGCTTAAGTTATTCTTTAGTACTGTATTATCTGCATATTATGGTATACTGTAAATTATGAATAAATCATAAATAAAATATTATTAAAATTATTTCAAGCAATATTTCTAGTGTATGCCTAGATACATGGTAATAGTGGGAGACTTTAGCGCCTAATAATGCCTTGTCTGTATGCGCCCTATAGGCCTATGTGTTTGCTTGCTATTAGCTTATTTATTGCACTGCTAGATGTAGACCTCAATAAATCTTCCATCTTTGTCTCTAATGTGCTTTTTACCTCCATTTGCAGAAGGCACATAATGCATGTCAGAGAAAAATAAAAGCGAGATATGTGTTAATGGTTAATATTTGTGTATTTCTATGTCACCTTCCATAATACACATCATTTCAAGCTGTTTATCAAGGATGAGGGAATGAGGGGTGCAGTGATTAGAGCAGAAAATATAACTCCAGTAAGGACATACAGATAGGGTTCCCAAGCCTTCCGGAAATTGGGACACCTCTTACAATCTGCGAGCACGTCAAAGTCTATCTGAAACGAACTCATCTACCGCAAATTCATGATATCTGCATGTTTTTACTACTGTATTTATCTACTGTCTCAAGCCCCCTGAAGTCAGCTGGCGAAGGGTATCACCATGCCCAGCAAATTAATCAGATGTGTTTAGAAAGCAAACTTAAGCAGATCTCTTTAGAAAAGGCTTATTCCAGCTTGGGACCATTTGAGAGGCTAAATACAAGTTTCATACCAATTTCTTAATCAATTTTTATTTCTGAATTGGTGTGTTGAAAAGTGGATCTGTTAACTGATATTTTGAATACTGTATCTTGATTTCAAAAAATTACATGTAATGATAAAATGTATAAAATGAGATTTGTTGATATTTATTATACATAATTATACATTGAAAGTGGAGAGCTAGTATAATTTCATAGGCCTATATTTGTTTTAGACTGAATTTTCATTCACAGTTATCGTTTTGTCGTGATACACTAATTTTATTTTGTATTTTCAATTTCTCAGGTTGAATTACATGTTTGGTGGATTGGATCCCTTTGGGTATCATTTTGCAAATGTAGTGCTTCATATGGCCGTCTCCAGCCTCTTCACACACTGCATTAATGAACTATTGTTCCACGACAGTAAAGCATCATTCATTGCCGGTTTACTCTTTGCCACGCACCCGATACACACCGAAGCGGTAAGTTCAATCATGCGGACAAAATAAACTGCATGCGATCTAATTTAGGCATCAATTGGCTGGTCACGCTTGACTGATCCACTAGTTTTACCATTGACCAGTCAATGAGGGACTATTGTCTGCGGCTTGTGTACTTTTATAAAATCTGTCACCTTAGATGGTGATTCAAATCAATATGAACGTTAATTCTTGATTATTTAGTTTTAATTGGATCGGCCAATCAGTAATTAGTTTACTTGAACATAGCACCTTGAGGAATGCATGCTTTCCACATGTATACAGTTACGTGGAGTCATCACGCGTGGGAATTAGAGTGGATCACTGGGAAATCAGTCATGTTAATCTCAAGCCAAGAATCCAATTATTATTCTAAATTTAAATTGTTTAAATTGGGCTTTCTATATGTGAATATTGCTTGGTAATTTGCAGTGCAATGGTTCAATGGAATTGAATCACTAAAGCAATTAATAAATTGTATTCTAATATAAATTGTCATTGCACAAGGATATCGATGTACATTTCAGTTGTTTACCAAACGTGAGAAAAAATTAATTAATAGGTAATAACATTTTACTAAAAAATACAAGACTGACAGATCAAAAATATTTCAGAAAAATTTTCATATTTAGAGTAAAAAAATAAAACAAATTAAAATTTGAAATCATAAAACAGATGAAAAAAACAATAGTTAAAAAAAAAATTAAAATATGTTTTAAACCCCAATTATTTTATTAGAAAAATAATGTTCAAATATTGTGCATAACAGAATTATTAAATAGTAATAAAAAAGATGATTAGGACAGAACATGTACATTAATAGAATATAAAATAAGTCATAATATATTATGCATTGTATATTTGAGAAGCTAATCGAGTGTGGATATCGGACAACCTATATATGCACCATGATGAAATTTTCAGTTAAAAGTTCATTCAAATATACAAACTCTAAAACATAGAATTTATTATCAGAGTTTTATTAGACCATAAATGAATAATCTAGAATTAAAAGTTCATTCCTCTATATTCAGAAAGAAATGGTGTTTATTGGCAATGAAATTGAAGCAGTAGATGCTATTGATGGATTTCTCCAAGGATCAATATATAGTACACTCTACTATTGGCTGCATATTTATTAAGATATTTAGAACATCAGACAAGTTGTTAAGTTCAGTCTTTCTTACATGGCAAAATAACTACTGTTTGGTAATACTGTAATTGTGCAGTTGTTATCAGCTTTGGTGCCAGAAATTTGCTGACAAGGGGTCCGATGGAGGGGTCCGAACCAAGGCAATGATGATAATCACCACCACTAATTTCATCTGCTATTCTGCTGTTGTAATACTGTACTCACAACATTCTTGTCATGACAAGCCATATGCTCTCTGGATGATTATCTTTTCCGCTGCAGCACCATTCGTAAAATTTGCAGTTTCCTGATGTCCTTATTTAATCGTTTTTCATTCAAAATGTGCCTCTCGGATTTAATAAGTTCTCATAAGAACCCCTCGATTTTCATCTATTTCCATAAGCGCCTCCTCAATTTTCACTCCGTTTTTATAAGCGCCCCGTTCGAATAAGCGCCCCGTTTGAATAAGCGCCCCTTAAAAAGTGCAAAAAATATTTTAAGCGCCCTGGTGCTTATTCACGCGAGTACGGTAACTATGATCTTGATTGTGATTTGAATTAATATTGCGGTGCCAATAACAACATGTCCCTTAACCCACCTAACTCTCATGTCAGGTTTATTCAAGGAGCCAAGCGAACAGACTCTATTGAAACCCTGTGGTAGCTACTGTAGGTTCGAACCAGGGTCGTCAGCCATATGCTTACAGTAGAACAGTAGCTACTTCATTTTCTATTTTTAAAGAATATGATATGATGAATTTGGTGTACTGTAGCATCCTTTCCATAGTATTAGTTTCCCGTAAGAGTGGCATAATTTGGTATTCAACATTTGGGATTTTAAAATCTTACTAAATAGGGCTTGACTATGCTGAGAGATGGTGAATATACCTAAGGCTAGAGATTCGACATGAATTGAGATTTTTTTTCTCATTTTTGGGTTTTTAATAAAATGTAATAAAGTGCACTCTGATCATCGTGAACTTTTTTTTATTTATTTTTTATTTGTATATCTTGATATATCAGGCCTGATATTGATGAGAGGCAGCCACAATATTCATTTGATTTATAAGCCATGAAATACACCTAGGGCTGAAACATAGCGAGAGCCACTTCACAACCCGTCAACAGTGCAAGCTAGAGCAACTAAGCATGGATGACCAAGAATGGTCAGCGTGTGGTTCGAACCCTCGAAAACGAGGTTCACAACCTGAAAGAAAATTGCTGCACCAAACCGCCATCCCTGACTGTGTGCTGAATAGTTCTTTATGTACCATATTGTATGTACAGTTAATAATTTACACTAGAGGCAGATGTGAATTCAATAGTAACCACTAGAAACGCTGATGACAATGTTTTCAAGAGTCATCTACATGTATACCTTGGCAAAAATAGCGTATCCTCTATATAATTAAAAATAAACATTAATGAGTTTGTTTTACGACATATAGTCTATTACTGTATGAATAATATTCCATCCCCATAATTCTATATGGACTAATCTACATTAATTTTGTGTTTTAATGCTTATAAAATTCTTTGTTCAACTGGTGTGCATTGAATAAATATACTCTTGTTGAATTTTAGTCAAGGTTATCATGTTCAAAAAGCTTGCGATGAATAGAAATTAGAATAAGAAGAAAAAGTTATGGATTTATCATTAGGAAAAGCAAATTAAAGTGAAATTTAATCTTATATTTACATTTGTGTCACTTCTATCCAGTTCAGGGTTTTAGGCTTAATTTTTTTTTTGTCATATTATATTTTATTTGAAATACATTTTTTTTTTACATTTCACTAACTAAAATTAAATGTAGTAGACTTGGAGTTCCTAATAAATAAATTCTCGGTATTTATACATTTTGTTTTATAAATTAACATAAAGTATTCTAAAAAAATGTATTTTAGTTTGTTCATTCAGACATCATTTATATGGTTAATACTACCATATTCCATACAGACTCTTTGTTTTGCGATAATTTAATCATATCATTTATTTTCTTTGTTAACTAATTTTACATCCATGGGGAAGATGTCCACACGGCTAGGCATACTATAATGTAGTTCAACATTGTACTGTATAACAATAAATGGGTTGCTTCCTGCCATCAGAGCTACAGAGCTGTATATCCAAATCAATAAATACAGTAGGTAACAAACAACCATTAGGCATTACATAAAAAAAATTGTCAATTCTTTAGAATAAGACTTAATTTAAAATTCAGACCACCTGTGTGTTTCAAATGAATATTCATTGATGAGAAGAGCCATGATTCTTAACATTGTGTGTTAACATTGTGTGTTAACATTCTAGCTCGCGCTATCAAGATTCAAGATTTGGCTCCTGTGCACTTTAAAGAACCCAGTACATCCTTCGAGAAGAGTAGGGGGTTACCCCGGTGTACTGGTTTATTAAGTCCCTTGTTGTTAAATGGATATGCCACGTAGGACATTGATTCATTTCATTTGTCCACAGTAGGAAAATAGGTCAACTGCTTTTCATAAAAAAATTTAAAAAACCAGGGGAAAATGCAAAGTTCAAACAGATATAATTTTAAAATAATTAAAAATATTTGAACTTTGAACTTTGATTTTTTCTGAGGAAGAACAATTTTTGATGTTGACAAACTGATTTTTCTAAGACACAAAAAGTATATTTGACAAAAAAACTCAGAAGCAGTTAATGAGATACAGATTTTGGAATATTTAAAAACTGGGGGAAAAACCACCCTTTCTTTCCACCTTTTCCCCCCAGTTTTTAAATATAAAAAAATCTTTGTTCCATTAACCAGTTTCAAGTTTTTTGTCAAATATTCTGTTTGTGTCTTAGAAAAAATTTTTTATCCAGAGCCGGACTTAATAGTAAAAACAGCTTAATTCAATAAAACATTGAATTTTATATTAAAACGTTAAAACATCATTTTACTTATGTATTGTTTGTTTTATTTATTTCAAATCAAACAACTTTTACTCACCTATAACAAGATAGATGACATGTTAAGGATCTGGACCCAGAATCCTGGAATTTGAAGGCAAGGGCTTACATTTAAGCTACATACTGTACAGTACCTGTAATCTTATATTATTTATTATCTACTAGCAAATAAGAATATGATTTATTATGTCATTTTTGCAATAAATTTTATTTATCATGTAACCGGTGTTACAAGAATAGTTTTCTTTCTGAATTCAAACATGTCTAGCAAATTTTCTCACCCATGATATGTAATAAAATGTAGTAATTCTGTATGGTTCGGTAATTTCCTCAAAGTTCTTTTCCCATTTCAGTCATGAATGCATTAGTGAGAATAATGGCAGCCGAGGTTTCTAAAACCTGTTTACCTCAAGTAATTTGTATTCTTATTGAAACCTGATGGTTTATCCAGCTGATGGGATTTCGTGGCAATCTAGATGATTACGATTTACAGTTGCAACGTGCATAACGACGTGGGTTGTATGTTATAACTCATCTCCATCACATCTTCTTCGCTCTGTCTTGACATTAAAGGTGGTGGTAGCACGTGCGTAGTAAGTAGACGTTTATACTGTATTCGCCTCGCGTGTCTACTAACTACTTCAAAACTGGTTAAACATAACTTGGCGTTGGTTTGCGTAACACATGCCCTTCCATAAGAGGTTTCTGTGTTTGTATTAGAAAAAAGTATTCTTATTTATTTTTCCTGTTGACCCAAATTTGAAGAGTTTTGTTCTATTATGATAAAATAAAGGTATAAATTTTAAAGGTGAAAAACAAATAAATATACAGGAGAAAATATGAATTTTCCAGCAGAGATTATGTTGCTAATCGGAAGCAACTTTTTTCACCCTCTGTGTTCTGATATGTTCATGATTTTAACCCAATAACCTGCAATAGG